GCTGGGAAAAAAACCATGTTGTACACGGTAAAGGTAAACAATGATTAAATGTAAATTTAAAAAAAAAAAAAAAAAGTGGGGCCTAATCTAATAGGACTGTAGCCTTTTAGGACAAGAAAGAAGGAGAGGTTTTTCTTTCTCTTTCTGCCTCATGAATATGCAAGTGTCCTGTTCACAGACATCTAGGCCCAGAATTGTGAGAAAATGGATTCTGTTGTCTCTGCCCCTGAGCCTGTGGTATTTTATGATGGCAATGAAACTGACTGAGATGGTCCCCAACTCAGCAGAGGATTCAGGAGATGCCTGAATTCCATTCAATTCATACACACTGAGCAGAGCGAAGAGAGACCTCATCGCCCAATGGTACCTCCTGCTGACTTCATAGCCTAATTATGAACCCAATGCATTTCACATGAACTCTTCCCTGGTCTGAAATATTTTGAAGGAAGGAATGAATTTCCTTATGAGGCTTCATTGCTGGTTTTGTGCTGAACTGATACGTTTATCAGGGCCCTCCTTCTTACTAACCTAAGAGATACCCTAGCAGCAAGACAGTTTTTAACCTCAATATCAAGTTAACTTTTAAATTTATTTTAGTCCCTTAATTAATATAGCCAAAACCTCTTTTGCCTTTGTATATCTTGTAAAGTGAGGCAAAAAGAGTAGAGAAGAAAGGGAGAGAAAAAAAAAAAGCTTGAATAATAATAGCTCCATTTTACAGATCTGGTAGGTGAGTGATGAAAGCAGAAACAAAACTTCAAAACTCACTTGATCGTTCACTACTCTGCCTTTTCTTTTTTTCTCTTCTTCCTTCCCATCTCCCATTTCAATTTCAATGAATTAATCCAGACACACATTGAAATCTGTCTCCTCTTCATTGTATTTACTACTGATGCTTTCAGACTATCTTTCCCGTGGGCAAATGTAGCACCCCCTAGCCTCTCCCTGTTTCCAGGCCCTGGTTATCCCTCTGAATGGCCTTCCACTTGCTCCCAGTAGCACCATCGTACATAGGGATCTGATTATGCCTACCTCTCCAATGGCCTTGCAGTGCTTGCAATGTACAAATACTTCATAATCCAGCTTTCTAACCTACCTTTCCGACTATCTCTTTGAACGTTCTCTATCCCAGCTCCCACCCTACTAACCCCTTCAATGTCTCTCCATTCCTTCCAACTCCCAGTGGCCGTTCTAGCCCAAATTCTGAGCCTCCATGCACTTACTGTGCAGGCATCTTTTCTAATCTATCTACCAGTTCTCTACCCGGAAAATTCTTCTTCCTTCAAAGCCCAATTCAAAGGCCACTACCTATGGGAGAGTCATTTCAGATCCTCTGTGGCAGTTTCCAACTCCTCCTCTTTATGTCTGTAGGACTTTGTACACATGTTTAATTGAATAATTTCTGTTGAATGATAGCTAGCTGTTGAAATGTCTAATCTATCTTTCCCACTTGATAATGAGCCCCTAGAGGATAAAGATCATTTTGTATTTATCTGTAGGTTTCCAGCATTGAGAAGACTGCCTGGCACAAGGTCAGTGCTCAATACATGTTCATTAAATGTTCAAATAGACCCATAGCCTCTCACACATGTGAAAACACACTGACGTGCTCTTCAGTACAGTGTATTAAAAGCTGATTTGGGAGTCAGGATGTCTGAGCTCTAGCTGAGTCTCCCCCAATAACTGTGTCCCCAGAGAAAGCAAGGATCTGGGCCTCAGTCCTCCTGACTTATAAAAAGGAGGATGTCAGAGTGCCTTTTCAGGGCTCATATCTGATGATGCAGAGAACTTGATGTCTCAACCCCAAAAATTTCTCTTTTCTCTCACCAAAAGGACAGAACCGTAGAAGTCTTCTTCCAAGACACATGGCACATAACCAGGAGTCTCTAGCTCAAACCTCTGTCACCAAGTTCAAAGACCAGGACTTTAATTCTTTGAGGGATCGTTGCTTAAGCCGGGGCCGACTGTTTAAGGATGAGACATTCCCTGCCATGGATTCTTCCATAGGCCAGAAGTTGCTCCAGGGAAAAAACCTCACCAGCCTGGAGTGGAAGCGACCACAGGTGAGTGAGTCCCCTAGGAGCACTGCCAGCTCTGTAACCCTGGGTGCTGCTTGCCATAGAACTCCCCTCCACAAAAAGGTACCTGATCTTCAAAGATGGCCCAGACCAAACTGGAAGGAGAATGACATTTGTCTGGTCCATTTGCTACAGTGTTGTATCCACTTACTGGAACAGGAAGATGCTAGGGCATGAACCAGGACCCTGGACCCATGGATTCTAACCTGGTTCTAACACTGAGTACATTACTACCTTATAATTCCTTATTCTACTCATCTGAAAAATGGGAAACAATGAGTATGAAGCTTGTGATAGTTGCTTTTTAGGGTCTCTTCCACCTTCATAATAGAATCTATCTGTCAGGCTATCAATCTTTATTCTCAAGCATCAGACTCTATTTTTTTCTTCCTTCCTATTACAGTTCACTCAAAAAAAAAAATTCCTGTCAGTCATTTATGCTACAGGATGTGTTTAAATAATTACTTCACTTGTCTCTTTTATATTTACATTCTCAATCTTGTAAAGGCTTTTTCACCTATAGAAGAATTTCAAACATCTATGAAATTAGGGAGATATTACAGGGCAATGGTCAAAGCACTCTCACTTCCCCAACCACCACAGATGACCACTAACTTCACCTTGCAGCAAAGTGAACCCTGTTGGTCCTTCTAGAACTATCTCAATTTTAGGGCTTGAAATTCTACAGGAAATTTCTCAGCAGACTCAATGTTCTTACAATCTCATTGAGGCTACTGATGATGCAAAGACCCTAGATAAGGACCACTTTGAGAATTCTGATCCTAAACCCCCTGTTCAATCTCTAAAAGCTGCCTGTAGAACCCAGAGCAAGGAAAAATAATGAAATGTCTGGTAAGCTAATAATTGTAATATCAGCAACTGTTACTGGGTGCTGATTGAATACAAGCACTCTACTGAGCACTTTCAATAAAGCTAGGATAGGTTATATAGAGAAGGTGTTTGTTGAGGATTCCTATTAAGGGGCTATGAGATCCCATAAAGTATCTGTCCAATGTGTCAATATCTGCCTCACTGCTTTGAATCATTGAATCCTCATAACAAATCTTCTATGAGGCCTTATTGGCCCCGTTGTGCAGATGAGAAGCAAAAACCAAGTAGCATGAATGGACCAAAGTAATACAGCAAGATGGCAGTAGAGCTGAGATTTGAACCTAGAGTCTGGCTCTAAGACCTGAATCCTAAGTGCCATACTGTATTGCCTTTAAAAAAAAAAAAAAAGTTTATTTATCTTATTCATGATAGAGAGCACATTTAAGAAGCACATGTGAAAGAGAAGCATCTTCCACAGGATTTGGTCATGCCATAATCCCTTCTCCCAGCCCTCCAGTTTGTCAGGATCTTGAACATGTGTGTGTGCACCCTGCCTGTTTCAGGTTGATGGGGCCAGGATCTAAGCCCATGAATGTGGCTTCCAGAACTGCAGGTTGGTATGCTCCTGACTATGCCACAAAAGCTAGGCCTACATTATACTCCTTAAGAGCTCATAAAAATAGTATGCTTTATTCTGCTTGCCAATAATAATATTTTATTCACCAATAGAATCTCCTACCTCATTGGTAACCAGGAATCGAACTCTCTCTGAAGTAGACCTTTCTGTCTATGTTCAACATTCCTTTCCAATATTTAGGTGAAAGAGAATGAGGATAAAAAAGTACCTGTACCACATATAGTTATTTTAAGGGAAAAATTAATACAGTACTTAGAACAATGTCTAGCACATCATAAGCACTTACTAAACATTAGCTCTTGTTACTGTGATTCATTTGGGAGGGATGCTATAGGGTAGAAACCTTAGAGCTATCCCCTAGAATTCCTGGCTTTCATGGTCCAGATTTCTCAGCTTCAGTCCTTGGCCAGTTTCAGCCAGCACTTTCAGGAGAAATGTGGTACAGAGAAAGCCATTGGGAAAGGGGGACTAAGGGGATGCTGACCGACAATGTGGGAAATGTCTTTATTCTCATGTTTGGTTTCCTATCACTACTTTGAGAAAGTTGCCTCCCAGTGTACACCCTGCTCTATGCCTGTCTAGAGTTCGGATCGGCATGCCTTAAACTTCAGTCATATAATGGGCAAGGTGGTACCAAGGTTCCTTAGGCCACCTCCACATTACAATTTTTTCTAGACAATTGGGAAACTCCATACTCCGGGCAACTGCTAAACCACCATAGACATTCTACCTCAAGTATTCATCTTGGCTTGGTAGGTTCAACAACAGCCCAAGAGTCAGACATGAAAACCAAGCTCAACTTACTATTCTTGGCACATAAAAGTTGTTTTAAATCCTATAAATCTCTGTTCCTCTATCTCCCTTTTCATTTACCCTTTCCTTCCTCTTCCCTTTCCTTCTTTTAACAATTAACCTAATTCATTTTGCTGCTGAAAGTTTGAGGTAGAGCCACCTTCACCTTCTTCTCTCTCTTTTATCTTTGTATAAGAAATTTATGGCCCCTCAGTCAGGTTCTGAAATAGCCTAACTGTGCACCAAGCAAATGGCACTGAGAGGACCCCATTCCTCATCAGTCTCAGTGCTTCTTGTAGCTCCTCATCTCAGCAAGAGACAAAGCTAAGAATTACACTTATACACAGAGTATCTGTGTGATATTCCCCTGGACTAAATTTGGCTCTCTTTTAGAAAAATTTTTATCTCATGGATAATAATAAATCCCATTTATCAAGCATATACATATGTTCAGTATTATGTTAATATTTCACTTAATTATCGCAACAGTCCTGTGAAGTAGGTAATACTACTATCCCTATTAAACATATCAGCACTGTCTGATAGAACTTTCTGAGATGATAACAACGTTATTTCTGCACTCTTCAATATAATAGCCACTAGTCACCTATGGTTATTGAGTCCTTGGAATGTGGCTGCAACTAAAGGATTGAAGTGTTAATTTAATTAAATTAATTTATATTTAAGTATCCATATATAACTCATGGCTACCACATTGGACAGTACAGAATTGTAGATGGTAGATCTTCATGGCAGTCAACAATGTGTATTGTATTAGAAATTACTATTTCATCTTTGCCCCCATTCTACAGTGAAAAACACCCACTTCTGAATTGCAGAATGAGCTATGTGCCCAAAACGTGATACCTAATGGGTACTCAAAGCTCAGCACACAGCCTCATTGTGGATTCTGGCCTGTGGCCATCCAAGGTGAACCATCACTTACCTAGGCAACAATTTTCACCCTCTATGCAGCCAGAGCAGTTTCAGAAAGAATCATTCACAGAAATGACTCACCTTGGGACCAAGACTTATTTTTCAGGAAAGAAAGAGGTTAACAAAGTAGAGAGATGAATGTAGACTAGGTTGTGAAGATATACCATAAGGCAACAGGTAATAGAAGGTGGCAGAAAGTGACTATGCCAACAGACAATTGCCACTGAGCCAAAGAACTTTGATGCCAATAAACCAAAGCCCTCAGGCAAAAATAAAAAAGGGAGTGACATTACCACCTGTGCCAGCCTGAACCCTGGCTGCTGTCTGAAAGGGCTGAATGCCAAGATGCTAAACAGGATTCTCTCGCTCAAGAGCAGCACACAGTCTGGAGAAGCACATGAACAGCCTTTGAGGACAATACAGGAATACATGAAGTGCTGTCACATTTGAAGAGACACCTCCAGAAACAACTGGAGAAGAGTGACTGGTTTCGTACCACTTCAGAGAGGATGTATTCCAATTCCAGAGCTCTTGTATTATAGGAGCCTCTGACATACCTATTATAACAGAAAGATAACATGCATTCATATATACAAACATAATCCTATTGATATATTTGCATATATCTCTTAGTATACATCCTATTGATGCATTTATTATGAGAATTTATTATGGGGGGTTGGCTCATGTGTTTATGGAGGCTGGGAAATCTCATGCCATCTGGTGACCCAGGAAAGCCAGTGGTGTCATTAAGTCCTGATTGGAGGGCTAAGAATCCCATAGCAAAATTCCCACTCTCCTCTGCAGGCTGGGACCACATGGGAGGTCCAGGTTCAATTCTGACCCACCCTAAAGGTTTGGCATAATCCCAGCAATTCAAGAGGTTGAGGCAGAAGGATCACAGGCTTAAGGGTGGTCTGGGCAACTTAATGAGATCATGTCAGAAAAAGAATCCCAAATGGGAGGCTTAGAAGGGATTCGAACATAGCCAGACTTTGTCTTAAAAACAAAACGAACAAAAAACCACAACTATTATTGTCCAGAAACATCCTCACAGACACTCAGAAAAAATGTTTAGTCAAATATCTGATCCAGGTAGGTTGACACAAAATTGACCACCACAGCTTCTGTACTAGTGGATGTGTCAGAGCCCTTGAAAACCCAGTCTTGTCTCACAGAATCAGAAAACATTTGAGTTGTGAAGACTTTGACTGCTGGTGTGGTCAGAGGTGAAGAGCAAGGTGCTATGGAGGCAGACTGCCAGATTCGCAACATGTCATCTGTGTGGTCTGGAACAAATCCCTCAACTTCTCTGAACCTGCTCCCTCACCTTGGTGGGGCCTCAAATCACCTGAAGAGCTGTTTGCATCTCGAATTCTACCTCTGACTCACCTACTAAATCAAAGTTGCTCTGTGTCTGTAAAGCTGCCAGGTGATTCTGAGTCACAACTAGGACAGACTCTGCCCACTGCTGGTAGTTCAGCCTGAATCTGAATGAGGATGAGATCACACTGACTCCACCACTGCTCTGATGTGCCTGGCCCACCTACTAACAGGTGACCTGCCTAGTGCCAGAGCTGTCCCATCCTCTCAGGCATCTGTACATAAGGGTCTTGTCTGAGGAAGTCAACATGGCAGACTAAAATGCTTCTGGGTATTATTTCAATCCCTTCCTACCTTTCCTCCTTCTAGATGGTCTATTATGGCTCTAATGTCCAGAGGCAGGGTATAGGCAGCTTTAGAGGACAGGAAAGACAGGTGCTGGTTTTGTGTCCATCTTTAATATAAATTACTCCAGTGTTTACCCACAGAGTTGACATTGACTATCTACTTTAGATTTGAAATAATTACCACTTAATTTTCATCACAGTAATATTTCTATTCTGACCCAGCTATAGTGGCACAGCAATAGCGCACTACTCTGCAGTGCAGAAGCCATATAAAATATTAGGGTTTAGTTCAAGAGTCAACTTGTATGCAACAGCTGTGTGTGCACATGCCCACAATCCTGGCTAACTGGGATGGCTGAGGGGAGGGTCATGGTGTCTGTAAGACGCTATTGAGGGTGCTTGTCTCTCTCTTCCATGAAAAGAAATATACCTATAAACTTTACAAAATATCTTTCTATTCCTAATTAGCTAAAATTTTTGTTTTTAAATTTTAACTTTCATTGTTTTGGTAAATCATAAAATCCAGTGTGTTTAGCAAATACCTTCATAGTACCTGTTGAAAGAATACATATTTTTCTCCTTCTGCCCATGTAAGTGCTATTTCATATTCTTATGCATCCTGATATAAAACCATCCTTGCATTCTGCATTTTCATAACACCTACTTGATGATAATAGATTAGTCAAAATAAGCCTGGTATGTGTGTATATTTCTTTCACATTGAGTATCAAGGTTATGCTGGCTCCTTAATAATGACAGGATTCTTTTAAAAAAATACTGAGACTGTAAATGACAGAAATCGTTCATTCCCTGAAAGTTTGAGAGAATGCAGCAGGGAGGTTATATGTACCTAAGAGCCTGTAAGGAATATTAGAGATCCTCTTTTTTTCTTAATGATTTCATCTAATTTATTTTATATTTTCTTATTTACATTTCATTGTCATACATCTTTATGGCCTACAATACAGTTTTTCAGAGCAGGCATGTAGTGTGTGAAAAAATCAAAGATAGTTTTTAATAACTTTGAACTACCCTCATAAGGGTAGTTCAAGGTTATTGGTTATAACCTCTCATGGTTATTGGTCTTTTCAGGTTATTTACTAATTTGAGTCATTTTTAGCCATGTTAATTTTTGTCTGAAAATCATCAGTATTTTTAATTATCATAAAATTTTACATCACATTTTTGTATTTCTAAACTCCATTTTTATTTTTAATTTTATCTGGGTTTCTCTACTATGTTTACTGAAGGTTATATATATGGCAAACTCCTCCTCCAAATAGAGCAATTTATTTTCTTTATTAAATTTTGTCTTTCTGGTTTCTTTTATAATTTATTATCCTTTGTCACTTCCTTCCTCCTATGTTTTTAAGGCTTTTTTGGTCTTTTCCTTTCTAAGATCTATGAGTTGACAGCTTAATTCACATTTTTATTTCATCTTCTTTAGTAATAAATGCATCTGAGGCTATGGGTTTATCTGTGAGTATATGCCTTCTTTTATATATAAATTAATTTTTTAAAAATTTTCTATAGAGTACATGTGCTTGCCAGACAGAGAGAGAAAGAGAGAGAGAAAATGAGAAAGCGCCCCTCCTAAGGGGGGATGTCCACATGGCCATTACTTCCCCTCCATTCTCCTCTCAGGATTTCGGGCACACATGCACATGTGCCTGGTGTGTTTTTCAACTCACCTGGTCCAGGTTTGAACTTTACTGTCAGTAGTGTGGGATCCACCACATCACTAGCTTGTCTGAGAATATAGCTTTTTAAATTTTGCTAATATTACAGGAGAAGGGAATCAATATTGACTGAACACGTGTACTCTGCCAAATGCTGCATTATGTATTTCACATCTTTCCTCACTTGTAAAATGGAAGGACTAGTCCTGCTATGCAAGGCTGTTGGGAGCCAGGTGGAAACAGTCCAGGAATAGAGCACTTATCTCTCACCGAGCATTTCATAAATGGCGGTCATCCACCACCTCAATCGTTTTATCATTTGATTCTCCCAATCTCCTGACATTTTCTGTTCTTGTTCCCATTTTACACATGAGGAAACTGTGGTTAGGTAAAAGAAATTCCTTGAAGTCTCAGGGTCATCCAGGAAGAAATGTCAGGACAGGATTCTTTACCAGGTCTGCCTACAAGGACTCCAAGAATGCACAACCTTCCCCTGGGATTTCCCCAGAGAGAGATCAGCAGGATCTTAACAAGGAATGGTTGTGGCTGTGGGTCAAGAAAACTGAGCAAAGTTGTCTTTGTTCCTGGTCCCAAGCTCCATGGCCTCTACCTTCTTCTTTAATCCCTGTGAGTGGAGGATATTGAGCATTCTGGTTCACAACAGCAGGCATCCTCTGAGATCTATTAGTTCCTTCTTCCAGTAAAAGAAAGGGGATAATGAAAGGCTGTGGAAGTGCCCCAAGCTATTTTGAAACTGGTTCTTAGGCCCTGTGCACACACCCTACTTGTTCATGTGGGGGAGGACTCCCAAATTCTTCTCAGCCGTGACTTTAGTGAGGGATGTCAAATGTGATGCCCACCCCCCCCCAGGTTCCTCTTCCTCTGGAAGGACTGGACCTGAATGCATTTCTCCTGGTATCTAAGGGGCCAGATATTTGTTGAGAAAGCAGTAAAAATTGATGTGGTGGGAGGAGGCCCTCAGCTGGGGTGATGTGTTTGCTGAGGGACACACCTTTGTTTGCCCTAGTCTACGTCTCCACCAGGAAACTCGGCAGTTGTAAGGGCTGGTGGGTTCTACAAGGCACACAATCTGTACACTAATGGTTGTTGAGCAAATGAATCCATTTCCACTTTTCAGCTCTGCACTCTGGGGACTTATTTGTCACCATGAAAAGAAACAATACAGGAACAATTACCAAATTATGCAAAGTCATACAATGGAAATCCAGGAACAGCTGCACAGAGAGAACCCCAAGGATAATAATCTGGGCTCTTAGGAGGGGCAAATATAGAGTCCTAGCTAGCACTAGGACAGGAGTTAGATCTTCAGGGCAATGTATCTGCAAAACACCTGGGGATACCCTTCAGGTGCTCTCAAAATCCTCAGGTCTACTGAGAGTTCCCAACATTCTCTCCAGACATGGCAGCACTGAAGAATCTCTTAGTACCCCCTGTTCTGTAGCTGTTGGAGGTTGGCAAAGGATGGGGCATTGAGTAACACTATCTGAGACTGGAGAATGGGGCCTTGTAGACTCAGTCTGTGAGTTAGCAAAGGGAGGGACAAAGATCTGAGTAGTATGCACTGAGTATCCTTACAGCACATGGCTGGACCTGAACCAGGAATCCAGACTGCCTCAGCTATTTTCTCAGATATGCTATTTCACAAGAAAAACTTCGTGTTGAAAAGCTGTAGTCTTTATTATGTTTATAAACATCTCCTGTAATGGACCCCATTCATTTTTGTTTGTTTATTACCTCTTAATAAAACTCTGACTTACTGGGACCAGAATGGCTGATTCTTTGATAGAAGGAGCCCCGTCCTTGTTTATGTTCTCTCTCTGTGCAGTTTGCTCACACATTTATTGCCTGTCTTGTCAGTTATATACGCACCCCTTTGATACCTGCCATCCTGATAGCAGTAAAATCCAAAGAACGAAGAAGAACTTTCCTAACTCAGATTTTAAGCACCTATTTAAGTATTAACCTCTACCCCTCAAAGACATAGTGAATGATGTCTTAAGTACTGCACTGGGACATAAAGGAATAAAATATGCTCATAATTTTCTTCCTCTTTCCTAAGGAGTTGTCAGTGGTGCCCCCTCACTTCATACTGGAAGGTGCAAGCAGGTTTGATATCCAACAAGGAACAGCAGGTAAGAACTCCATACCTTTATTACCAAGGGATCAGAGCTGGCACCCGAGTCACACCTCTGCACAGGGACCTGAGATGTGGTCTCCCACAGCGTTTGGCCGTGAGATCTGAGGAGCCCAGCCCCTTAGTACTGCTGTGGATGGATTGTTGCATCCAGTCTTGCTGTCCACAGCCACTTTCCCATGCCCAGATATGGCCTGCTCAGCAATCAGTGTAGAGGGCCATTTGGAGTGAGGAATTATTGAAGGAAAGGAGAAAACAGACACAGTTTAGTCTAAGCATTGAGTATGGAGGAAGCATCAGAGACAGGAAGATGCAAAGGAAAGAAGGATAGGTAAAAGAGAAACAAAAATTTGTTGAATTTCTTCAATGACTTTCTTAGATGTTTTACATTTTCTACCTCATTTATTCTTTGCAACATGCCCATTTTATACATGGGAAATGGAAAGCCTGAGAGATAAAATAATTTACTTAATGTCACATAATCAATAAGAATCCAGGATTGTTTGACTTCCTCCATCCCCACTAGACGACCACAGAGACAAGGAACTGCTAAGAGCTGAAGGATGTGGATAGGTAAACAGGAGCATCTGCCCGAAGTGGAGATCCTTGGGAAGTACCAGATATGGACAAGATAACCCCCTGAGAACCGCCTGCCCCCTGAGCAGTCGAGGAGTGGAAGGGCAGAACTGACTGCCTGGGGAAGGGAGAGTAGACAGGAGTTGGGCACACAGCAAAAACTGCAACTCTTCTGAAAACAGACTTTAAGCTGCACAATACCATGTTACAAATTATACCTATACTTAGCCTTCGCCTGGTAGTATCACTGCGTCTTGGACCATGTTGACCCCTCAGTTCTGCCAAAGTCCGGCTGTGCCCCTGTTCTTTTTCACTGCCCCATTGCCATTACCATCACCACAACCACTAACTGCCTCTTCTCTACCCTACTTGAAAGTGGCCCCAGTGACTTTTCCCTCAAGCTCTCCTCTCTCAGAGAAAAACAGTGCGTTATTCAGATGGAGGTGTGCAGACTCTGCTGGCAAGGACCTATGGGATCATGGGGTAGGGGTTCTAGGTGTTTCCAGGCAGGGAAAATGAGAAAGCAAGCCACCAGGTCCAAGCTGACGTCTTACTGCCTCTATCCCTTCACAGGAGACTGCTGGTTCCTTGCAGCACTGGGCTCCTTGACACAGAACCCTCAGTGTCTGCAGAAGATCCTGATGGACCAAAGCTTTTCACACCAGTATGCAGGAATTTTCCGTTTCCGAGTATGTGTGCCAATGCAATACTCTTTCTATAATGGGACTAGGCTTCTCTGAGAGCACAAGGGAGGCAAAAGTCTTGATTATTTTAGACCGGCAGCCTGAGATAGAAGTGACACTCCAATGTTAGTTACCTTGCTTGCTTACATCCAAAAAAGGATTTGAGCATGTCATCTGACAATACATAGGAAAGATGCATTTTATTTATGTTTCTACGTACATAAACATAAATGGCCAAAACAATTAGCAAAAGAAGAGTCATGGGTCAAAAACTGCCTTAGTCCATTTTTTGCTATTACAACTAAATGTTTCAGACTAGAATTTATAAACAATAGAAACTTATTTGGCTAATAGTTCTAGAGGCTGGGAAGTCCAAGGGCAGGGTGCCAGCATCTGCAAGGCCTTATCCCATGGCAAAGATATCACAGGGTGAACAAGCAAATGACACAAAGATAGCACAAGGTGTAGACTCCCTTTTACAACAACCTACTTTCACTGCAACAAACCCACTTCCATAAGGGCTTCACTCCCATGACACGGTCACCTTTTATAAGGTCCCACTACCTTGCATTAGGGGGTAAATTTCCAACATAGGAATTTGGGGGACACATGCAAACCATGGCAAGAACCCTGTAACTATCATTAACTTATTTTAAAAATTATTTATTCATTCTATTTATTTATTTTTTTAATTTGACCAGAGAAAGACAGAAAGAAAGGGGGCATTGAAAAAGCAAGCCAGCAGGTCCAGGACTCAAACCGTACTATAGTCAGCTATGTGAGAGTTCAGTGCCTTAACCACTTCACCACGTACTGGTTCCAGCATTGACTTTTGTGTCTGTGTCTATTCCTGTGCCATATTGTGTTATTTTGATTACAGTAGCTTTATAGGAAGTTGCAACATCTGGTAGGATAAGTTCTTCATTATTCATTATTCTTTTCTCAAAAATATCTTGGTAATTCTTGCACATTTATTCTTCCATGAAAATTTTAAAAATCATTTTGTCTAATTAGAAAGAAAAGCCACTATGATGTGGAATGGAGCAGCATTAAATTTATGTATTAATTTAGAAAAATTACATTTTTATTATTTTAATTATTCCTTTCCAGAAACATGTATATCATTCTATTTATTCAGAACTAGGTTTATGTCTTTCAATAAAATGTTATAGTTATGTTGTCATAGTGGTGCTATATTCTTCTTGGTAAATTTATTCTCAAATATGTTACATTGTAGCTAATTCAAATGTTTTCTTCCCCCTCATTTCTAACTAGTTGTTGCCAAAAAGGAGAAAATCTACTACTTATTACATATTAAACTGTATCTAGCAACTTTAGCCAACTCTTTTGTTAGGTTTAATTTTTTTCATTAGCAGAATCTGAATTATTTTAGTTATCTAAGAATATTATCTGCAAATAAAGACGATTTTATCTCTCCTTTTAGTATTTGTAAAACAAATTTTTTGCTCTTTTACCTTTCATATCAGTTAGAACTGCACAATTTTTAATAAAAGTGATAAGAGAAAAATCCTGTCTTCTCTTGATTTTTGCAGTGTACTTTTTCCTATGCTATCCTTTGGGTATTTTATCAGACTCTCTTTGCTGAAAATTATAGTTGAATTTTTGTACCTGTATCATATGTAAAAGTCGTTTATCATGGTTGAGTTATGCTAGTTTTTTTTTTAATGAACTGATCAAGCTTTACATACTTGTCTTTAATTTGAAATATTTCAAATAATAGTTGATAATCATTTATTATCTCTTCTTAGAAAGTAAAATAGACAATAGTTGAATTTATGGACCTGCTTCCTTTTTAAATGGGATTTCTTCCACTCTTTGAATGTATTCAGTAGCTTTTGCTCTATTTGGGTCTCTTATTTCCATGAAGGTTAATTTTTGAAATTTATACTTTGTTAATGAAACTCAACTTTTTCTTCCATATTTTTGAGTGTATTGCTCTAAATCATGGAGTTGCTCATATTTGATCATTAATTTAATCCCATAATCTGTGGCTAAACCTACTTTCTCAATCCCAGCATTTTATTTTTATTTTTCCTTTTCTTTCCCTTAATATAGCTCTTCATAATCCAATCGATTATATTGCCTTTGTTTTCTTAACAACTCGACTTTTGACTTTCATTATTCTTTTTATTCTTTTTCTTTTGAGGTTTTATTTTGTTTTAATCAGGCATGTGCACTCATCAGAGAGAAACAGAGAGACTGAGAAAGTGAGAGAAGAAAACACAACTCCCTCCATGAAGTGTGGTCATATTGCATTGTGCAGTTTGACTCCTAGATTCGTCAAATTGTAACAGAGATAAATTGAAGTTCCTCCCTGTAGTATCATTTGGAGAATTCTTCTTATGCTTTCAGATATTCTGGTTTTGTAATTGTCTTGCTGTATCATTTGGTGATTGAAGGTCTATTATCTTGTTATCTTCTTGGTAGGATGAAATGTACATAGTATCCCTATTTGTTATGTGTAATGCTTCTTGAATTCCTCTTTATCTCCTATTCATATTGCCACCCTAGTTTCCTGTTACTTACATTTTCATTATGTCTTTGATCAACCTTTTAAGTTCACCCTCATTTTCACTGTGTTAAAGGTATGTTTTTTATACAAATATTATTTAAAACTCATTGTTTGCTGATTCTTCCACCCTTCACTTCTCTTTAATATTTTAATTCAGCCCTCATTAGATAGAAATAGTTCCTTGAATAATTTCCTCAGAATATATGAGCATTTTTTTTCATTTGCTGTCACTTAAGAATGATATTTTGGTTAGGTTTAGAATCCTTGGATCACATTCCTTTTCCTCAAAAGTCTGTAAACATTGTCCCATTGACATGTAGCTCCCAATGTCACAGAAGAAAAATCTGAAGGTAATCTATTCTCTTGACTTTGTATGTAGCATTTTCTTTCAAACTGAAAGTCTATAAGAAACTCTCTCTCCTCTTGAAGCTCAGAAATTTCTCTAGAATATACCCAGATGTGTGCTTTTTAAAAATTAATCTTGCCTGGAATCCTGTGAACTTTTTCAATCTGAAGACCTGTACATTTCTGCTCAGCTAAGTTTCCCTGTTATTTTGGGGCTTCCTCTGTTACCCTGTTCCTATCTCCTGAAGTTCAGCTATGTACAAACTAGGTTTTCTGACAGGCACCCAGGTGATGTTCCTGCTGTTGGTCCAAGGACCACTCTGAGGAGTGAGCTAGAGAATTTCAAATTGAGCTGTGTCTGAGCTCACCCAGGGCTTCCAGGGTTGGTGGGAGTTACTTAAGTTAAGACAGCTAAGATCCAGGCAAGAAACACTGTGCTTTGTTGGGTGGTAAGTGAAGTCTCACAGTTTCTCAGCTGCAGCTGCAGTACTGCCCTCTAGATATCTTCTCATCCTTGAGAATGGCTCAGGCAGAACTCTCTGGACAGTGCTTGGGGACCTCCATGCTTTGCCCAGAATATTTCTGGCTTCCTCAGGTATTGGCAAAATTGCACCAGCATAGTTCTTGGAGACTACAAATATTATCCAAATGCCAGCCCTCCTCACCTAAAGATGTAAAATGCAGGCTTGTGGTCTTACTCCTGACAACCAATCAAGCCTTTTTCATCTTTTCTGAGATCAGCAGTCTCAGTATTAGTCAGCATCACTAGCATGAGAAGATAGGGGCAAGGGTGACTCCCAAGATGGAACTAACCAGAGGAGCTCATTCAAGCTGGAACTGATTCACGGCCTCATGTGAGGTAGGCACTGTCCTAGGTGCTGAATAAAATGATCATTGAAAAACAGTTCCTATTCTGAAAACTGTAATCTCGCTATCTCATCTGATGCCAATTGTAGCCTAGGATGCAGTTCTCACCCTTACCCCCATTTGACACATAAGGAAACAGAGTCATAGTGAATTAATTGTCAGGCTCAACATCTGTTCTTTGGGTGATGAAAAAAAAAAAAAAAAAGCCAGAATTCAAGCACAATTCTGCCTATTGAATGCTGTCTGCTACACGTTGCTATCCAATTAAACTCAAAATCCAGATGTCCTTCTGGCACATGCCCCCCCCCTTCCAGGAGCTGAGATTAGCTTTCCTCGGTGCTTCATTCATTTATAATCTCTCTCCTAAGAGCATCCTTGTTGCCTCTCTCCTCACGACCTATGTGTCACTGCTTAGTGCAACAGGAACATGGGCTCACAGCTGTGCAGGACCTGGCGCAGTGCACAGGCTCATTAATGACTATAAAAACATCTCTTTTGGTTTGTATCCGCTGACATCTCTGTCTCAGTCTCCATCTCTACTCTGAAAGTACATCCTCAGCTGGAAGTGACAGCCCAACATCTGGGCTATCCAGCTGTGAAAAGGCCATGTGGATGAAAACACATTCACCCAGCTTTCCTGGAAGCCCACCTGGCAGAGATCTGCCTTAATCCAGCCTCCGGTCTGAAGCTGGAAGCCCTGCTGCTTACATAGCACAGGGAAGGCCAGCAAAGAAACTCCAAAAGGCTGGCTTTGTTATGAATTATCCTCATTTGGCCATGTCCCCGGGTGAACCATTTAGAGTTGAATGCTAAAGATTAAAACAGTCTGTTTTGGAGAGGAACATCTGGTTCATTTGTGCTCTTAGCAGTAGCAGCGCCAGCCAGTTTCATTTCTGCTGCTCAAACGGCAGGGCCAGCTTGACAAGAGGATGGCTCATGAGGCCCAGAGCGAGGCTGTAACTATTCAGTCCTCCTGAGCATCCACGTCCCTCTGCCTCCAGGCCTTTGCCCACTCTGTCGTTACCATCATCTGTGCCCTCCCTAGCTCCTTGCCACCTGCCTAACTCCTGCCTCCTCCTCTAGTTCCCAGCTACTGGCAGACCCTCCTCCTTCGTTATAGCCCTGTATCTACCATGCTGCTTTGTTATTCACTGTAGGCTCCTCCTATTGCTGGTTCATGTGCAAGAAGTGCCTAGAGAGTCTGTCATGTATGTGTCTTTGAAGTTCACAAAGTACTTGCCCAACGAAGGCCAGAGTTAGTAGCAAAGTCAAACCAGAACCCACGTCTCCTTCCTCCATGCCTGTATTTTCCTTGACTGACTTGGTCCGTGACTCATTTTCTCCATCTGCCAGTGGCGATGACATGCCTGTCCCCTACTCAGCAGTGCAGACTCCTCCAGGTTTTGCTCTTGGAGGGAATTTATTTTTCCATGATGTAGGCCATATTGTAACAAGGATTATTTTTTGGCTTGGGCTTGGGGTCCAAGAGCTTCCTGTTGCCCTGATAAGACTGAGCTTGTTGTGGGTGCTTCTCTCTCTCTTATCTCTTTCTAGCTCTACTAAGGCTTGTCTCTCTTCTAGTTCTGGCAGTGTGGCCAGTGGGTGGAAGGGGTGGGGGGTGCCCGCCTGCCTGTCATGGGCAATGTCTGCCTCTTTGTGGGTCCTCGCAAAGACAACCAAGAATTCTGGCCCTGCCTGCTGGAGAAAGCCTATGCCAAGTAAGTATGGGCCCACCACTCAGCCCTGTCTGCCAGCGTCTTGCCCTGACACATGCTTCCCACCAGCCAGCCCCACAGCTCAAGGCTCCTCTTCTGAAAGCAAGCAATGCCCCTTAGAGCATCACAGATTGCCACCTGGCTGGGCATCCTCTGGAAACCATCACCATGTGCTGGGTCAATGCTGAGACCACTAGGAGGGTCTCAAAGGCACCTGGTGAGGGCAAGCAGGGTAGGGGCTTTTGGACAGAGATATGTCCAAAAGCTAACAATGCTTTTATTGCAAGGCTGCTATAGGGACCCAAATCAAATACAATGTTGTGATCAAAGTCTGAGGAGAGAGTAATTAATCCTAACTTTCTGATTCCAGGGAGTCAGAGTGAGGTCACATGGAGCAGGAGACATTAGAGTGATACCTTGAAGGAAGTGTAGAAT